TAATTGCAAAAATATCATATTATATTATTTATAAAAATTATGGTTTTGAATCATTTTTTGTTTTTAATAATATAGTTAAAGCTTATATAGTTTGTTATTTTTGTTTGAAGAAGGCTCGATCCATTAAGAAATTTGATCCAGAATATCATTTTGTAAATGTGTTATTATGGGTAATAATATTAAATCTATTAATTTTAGAAAATAAAAAAATCTATGAAAATTAAATGGAAAATGAGGAATCACTCATGATGAGTAAGAATGATTTACTAGCACTTAAAATATCTAAAACCCTCAATAGTAAATTAAATTATTAATTATTTTATATACATTAGATTATTTCTTCATTTCCCAATTTCTCAAAATAAAAATAATTTTATAAACCTTTTCTTACTACTAATCTAATCCAGCGTTTCATCGTTAAAAACAAACATGACATTATATATGTTAATCAAACAGGGCCTTAGTTATATATTTTACTCTTTGATGTTAGTAGTGTGTGTATATTAATATAATTAGGACAATCTAATAATTCCAAGTCCATAGTAATGGCTTCGGATCACCTATACCCATTTTTTGTACACATTTTTTGTCCCATTTATGATTTCAAGATTGATGACATGGTAGCCTAAGATGAACGAGACAGAAGATGGGTACAGGAGATCTGAAGCCCATTGTGCCGAAGAATCAACGCGGATTTTTTTATTTAGTCAAGCTTGCTATTGACATAAAGCACCAAATTAGAACAGTATTGTGAGTCCTTTATTTAGGCACTGTTTGGAAAATGGTCAAATCATTTATAACAAACAAAGCAAATAAAATAAAAATATTTTTAAATCATGTTTGGTTATGAATTTAAATATTAATTTGAAAAAGAAAACGAAAATGTGAGAACGTGTATAAAAAATTTAGCTTATATTTTATTTGTATTTCTCTTATATTTGTCTTTCTTTTTTCAAATTCCTTTACCAATTCATGATTCAAATACAATTTTATTCATAATATAATGATGATTACATTTATTTACTAAAACTTATATATCACCTCAAATGTTAGCATTATATTATTAGTAATAAAAATAAGCCAATGTTGGGACTCATTACTTTTAATAATGCTTTGCTAAATGCTAATTACATTTATTTACTAAAAGTAATTTATCATCTTATATATTATCTTTATATTAGTAATAAAATTGACCGAGTGATGGAGTCCATTAAATTAATACAATGATAATACGTGAGAATATCGTTCTCAAAAAAAAAAATAATAATAATAATAATAATATGTGAGACTATACAATGACAAATTTCAGTTTATATTTTCTGATTATTGAATTATTTATTAAGTTATAAATAGGAGAGTGCATATAGAAGAAGCATCATATCCAATTCCCTCTCTACCACCCCACCCAATACTGGTGTAAGAATGGGTTTCTTACTATCCAATTATCAACTCACAATATGTATCCTGTATTCCCTAATTTTCTGCTTGTCTTCTTCTGCACATCTTTGCCAGAATGACGAGAGCACTGCTTTGCTCCAATTTAAGCAATCCTTTTCCTTCAATTGCTCTATTTGCAACAGAATTCCTGGTCCATATAATACTGATAATTGGAAAGAGGGTACAGATTGTTGTGCATGGGATGGGGTCACATGTGATAACACCACTTCTCATGTCATTGGCCTCGACCTCTATTGTAAATGCCTATATGGTGCATCCGTCCAAACAGCAGCCTCTTCAATCTTGTTCACCTTCAACACCTCAACCTTTCTTACAACAACTTCAATCACTCTCAAATTTTACCTTCATTTGGCCGTTTCACAAATTTGACCCATCTTCACCTCTCTGAATCCTGTCTTTCTGCCCCAATACAATCATCATCAGAAGAAGTCTGGCAAGGGAATAACTTCTCCGATAGTATTTTCCACTTACAGAAATTGCAGGAGCTGTGGTTAGGCGGTAACAGAGAACTCACAGGTAAACTTCCTAGTTTTATTAATGGAACTCTCCAGCACCTTAGGCACCTTAGGTCGTTGGTTCTCTTTGAAACTGGTTTCATCGGAGAGCTACCTAATTCCATCGGCCAACTTGAGAACTCGGAGGAGCTATCCCTCTATGACTGCAAAAATTTCTCTGGTACCATTCCGACATCATTTGGAAACCTCAAGAAACTAAGAATGTTAATTCTTGGAGGGAATAATATAAATAATGGTCAATTCCCATCTTTAATCGGCCATCTTAAAAACTTGGAGGAGCTATACCTCCCTGACTGCAATTTCTGTGGTACCATTCCGACATGGCTTGGAAACCTCAAGAAACTAAGAACGTTAGATTTTGAAGGGAATAACGTGAACAATGGTCAATTCCCATCTTCAATCGGCCATCTTAAAAACTTGGAGGAGCTACGCCTCACTGACTGCAATTTCTCTGGTATGATTCCGAGATCGTTTACAAACCTCACACGATTAATTGCGCTTGATCTTTCATAAAACAATTTTGAAGGCCCAATTCCTCAACTTTTTTCCATCTTCTCGCAACTTCAAGCTATATATTTCTCAAACAATCAACTAACAGGTCCCATTCCCTCTTCCTTGTTTCATCCGGTGAACCTTACCTATCTTGATCTTTCATACAACAATTTTGAAGGCCCAATTCCTCAACTTTTTTCCAACTTCTCGCAACTTCAACTTATAGATTTCTCAAACAATCAACTAACAGGTCCCATTCCATCATCAATAACTGGCCTTCCACATCTACGGTCTCTATATTTAGGCAGTAACTCAATCAATGGGACAATACCTCATTCCTTGTTTCATCTTGTGAACCTTACCGATCTTGATCTTTTGTCAAATAATTTAAGCGAAACTGTTGAGCTGGACTCGTTTGCAAAGCTTGAATATTTGCATTCTTTGGATCTTTCAAACAGTGGTCTATCATTGACCACCACCAACTCCACTCCCTCCTCTTTCCGAAACATTACGACATTACGATTGTCGTCTTGCAACATAAATAAAATTCCTGACACTACGCCAAAATTTGCCTTTAACGGCGGTTTGTAACCGTCGTTAATAACCATGCAACCATCACAAAAACTTTTAACGGCGGTAAGACGACAAAAAGTGTAACTGTCATCTATACAAGTGTCGGAAATAATTTAACGACGGTTATTTTACCTCCATTATTAATAACGGCGGTATTCACGATGGTTATTAACCGCCACATAAAAAATCGACGATCTTGAAAAATGGAGGCGGTTTGTAGAACCGTCGTAAATGTCATGCCTTTAACGACGGTATTTTACAGTAAAAAATGGCAGTTATTTACTGCCGCAAAAGACTACAAACATTAACGGCAGTTATTTACCGCCGTTAAATAATTTTCAAAATTAAATATAATTTTCTTTTAGCGACAAAATTAAACCGCCGTTAATTATGAACCATTTGTTACAACAGTATTTTTAGAGTAAAAAATGGCAGTTTTTTACTGCCGCAAAAGATTACAACAATTAGCGGCATTTATTTACTGCCGTTAAATATATTTCAAAATAAATATAATTTTCTTTTAGCGACAAAATTAAACCGCCGAAAATTATGAACCATTTGTTAAGCTAACTTTGTTTATACATTTATATTCAATACCTGCTAGTGTACTCAATGAAAATCATTCAATAGAAGTATATAACCTACTAAAGCTTCCATACATTCAATATGACAATATATAAGCTGCCACAATACAATTTATAGCCATACAAATCCATACACCATATTCAATTAACAAAATCTATTCCAAATTACATGTCACATATAGCAAAGTTCCAAATACATGTCACTTGTAGCAATTAGTTCCAAAATACATGTCACTTGTAGCAATTAGTTCAAAATATTTGTCTCAAAATATATAGTGTCAAAATAAAAGTCCCAAAAGACATTTGCATTTACATGGTCCACCTAGCTCTCCTAATCTGCAAAATGCTGCAACTAGTTCCAAAATATTGTCTCAAAACACAAGTGCCAAAATAAAAAGTCCCAAAAAGCATGTACATCATCTACATGTTCTATCTAGCTCCTTTCAAACCTGCAAATGTAGCAATTAGTTGCAAAATATGTCTCAAAACACAAGTGCCAAAATAAAAGTTCCAAAAAGTATGTCCTTTATCTACATGGTCCATCTAATTCCCCTCAATCTGCAAAGTCTGCAAATGGATCCTCAATCTGCACATGTATAAAAAGATATAAATTTAGCTACCACTAAGATTTAAAAATATAATAAATATAGTATTAGTGCATATGCATTACATTAACCGAAGGCCAAGCTACACATTTCTGAAGTGCATCTCCAATTGTTTTGACACCTTCAAGAGCTTTCACCAAATTTTGACGAGGCTTTATCGCTTTCGTAATACGAACTTCCCAAAATTCTGGCCCCAATCGTTGTCCACCTACTACTTTGGATGGGTCCTTAGAAATAACTATGCCAATTGCCACAACTTGTTTTGGCAATTTAGAAGTAAGTAATTCTACTTCTTGTCCAACCTTCAAAAAAAATTAATGTGTAAATGTTGTGCATGAAAGCAATCACATTAAAGTATTTAGGATTAAATACACTTTACCCCCTTCTAGTTTAGCTCAAAAACAAAAGAAAATAACGTTTGCATTTTACTCCATACTAGAGATGTGTATATTTTTAAACTATAGGGAGGTAATAATGTGTTTTCTAACTAGCCCAAAAATTTAACTAGTATTCCTTGAAGAAATAGAACTAATAATAATGTTTATGAAAATATTTAATAACTATGTTTAAATACTCATTATGCGTAAACATTGTCTTACTTCATGTGATGGAACCATTGGCTCTTCATTCAACTGGTGAGAACTAGAGGCATCTGGAACCTGCTGCATATTGAATGATGGTCTGGAACCATTCTGTTTAAACATAACCATATAATTAGCTAAGTTTACAATATCCAATTTATTATAGTAAAACATACTTAAATTAAACTAGGATTAAATACACATTACCCCTTCAACATGTGAAGGCATTGATGGTGATTGAGGCATTGGATATCCCATAGTTTCCACATGAGCTTGCATTTTGTCACACTTGCGCTCTAACTGAGTAAACCTTTCACCCCACTCAGCTAATAATTCCTGTCGCACCTCTTCTCGTACCTCTGTGCGCAATTTATCCATGTCTATATGTTGTCGAGGTCCAGAATATCTTGTCCCAAACACCTGAGATGGGCAAGGTCCCAATCCATAGGTACGTACACGACCATGCCCATCTACTCCTAAGACCTCAGTGAATAGCTCCTCTCGAAATTTTTCAGTTTGTAAGGACTCGGGCACTTGAGACAATCCCTCTTTCAAATGAGACTAAATTATAAGAAAAAAAAATTATTAGAACATGAATAGGTAAATAATTAATCGTAAACATTCACATTATTACACATACAATGGCTACATCTGATGCCTCATCAACTGGATCTCCATTCTTCTTTGTGTGTGTCTCTATGTAGACCATTATCCGATCGGGTTGCACCTTATCTCTCTTATACATCTTCATTATTAGGAGCAATAAATACATATTACAACTTTACCAAATACAATGCATATTGAGAAAAAATTGTTAACCTATCATTTACCTCATCCTTTACCCGGCAATGGGCCTTTCTCCCACTTGTATGGCACATTGTCAATTTTTTTCGATTGTCACTGTTGGTTGTACTGCGTTCCTATCACAATAAATAGATATCGAGATTTGGTACAAGTCTTTCTCCAACAACTCTTGAAGCAATTTAGACCTTTTAACAAAAGAGCTTAAAAGCCAAACCTTCACACACCATATTCTTTGGCAAATATATACATGTGTTTAGACAATGCTTTGCTCTATATTCATAAACTAATTGAGATTTTATTTTACTTCAGTCAAGGGCAGCTATCTTTATGGTCATAACCAAAATAATAATCATAATAAGTCATGTAATCAATACCGTAACAACTCATCATTAAGTCTTAACTAACACTAAAATCAGTCATCCTCAAACATTACTTGAAGCATAGCCAAAGACTTTATTGACCGTAACCGGAATGACAACCACAATAAGTCATTATCAGGTCATAAAAAACAGAATTCTAAGGTAAAAAAATTATAGAGTGCAACAATTAATACCTGTGCCTCTAGACTATTCCAAAATTGAATGAGAATCTTCTACTGACTAGGATCCACCCTATCGGGACAATTTGCTAAGCGTTCTTCATTAGTTTTGTACTTGTTGAAGTGCTTTCTTTTCAGTTGGTCTTTCCAGTCTTTCCATTTCTTTCCAACTGACATCAAGCAATTATGCTTGAAAATATCTGGTGCATCAGTGTTTTCCTATATATATAACGAGATATCAAACAAATATATTTGTTAATTAAAGTATGAGTACGAGAATAAGATTTATATAGTACTTGCATTTTCATACCTTAACTTCCTGCCATATACGTTCTTTATAGGGGTTTAACTGTGGAGCTCTCCAATCATTGAAAGTTAATGGTGCAAAATTCCCATTTTGGGCTAGAATGCCTAACTGACTTTGTAATTTTGCAGTTTCATCGCCAATAGGTCGATTCTCTTCATTTAATGTAACCTTTAACTTTTGTCCCGTGCCCCATCAGGCAAAAGGACAACCAGGCCCTCTTGTCTGTCTAATTGCTGATTGACCCGTGCTAGTAGCTATTGAAACTTTTATAAAATAGGCATAAAAGAAAGCAAAAATTAAGTAAACATGTGAATTTTAGCTCAAGGTTCCAATTCATAGCGTAGCATGTAATGGCTATTCAAATTAAATTACCTGCTCCACTTGATGACTGCAATTCATGATTACTTTGTTGGGAAGAGCTCAAGGTTGGAGTCATATTGTTGCAAAGAGGTTGTAGTGGTTGCGATTGTGATTCTGACTGCGGCTGTGGCAGAGGCTGGGGCTGAGGATGTGACTGATTAGTAGTAGATGCTGGTTGTGAAACATCAGCCATGGAGCCAGCTGTCCAACGGGGTTGCTTTCGTTTCATAGTCATCTGGAAAAAAACAAAACAAAAATGTATTTGAACACTTGTTACTTGGATGCAAGGATGTACAAATAAGTATGAAATTATGTATGCAAACTTATGTGTTACAAACTTAAGTATGAAATTATATATGCAAACTTATGCAAGGATGCAAGGTTGTAGTGCCTGCGGTTGTGGCTGTGATTGCTGCTGTGCCGGTTGTGGCTGCGACTAAAGCAGTGGCTGATGCTATGACTGATTAGTAGTCGGTGCTGGTTGTGAAACATTAGCCATGGAGCCAGCTGTCCAACATGGTTGCTTTCGTTTTGTAGTCATCTAACAAAAAAGAAAAGAAAAAAAAAACACATTTGAATGCTTATTAGTTAGATGAAAGGATGTGCAAATAAGTATGAAATTATATATGCAAACTTGTGCAAGGATGCAAGGTTGTAGTGCCTGCTGTTGCGGCTGTGATTGTGGCTGCAGTTGCAACTGCGCCAGTTGTGGCTGAGACTGAGGCTGTGGTTGATGTTGTGACTGATTAGTAGTAGGTGCTGGTTGTGAAACATTAGCCATGGAGCCAGTTGTCCAACAAGGCTGCTTTCGTTTCGTAGTCATCTAAAAAAAAAGAAAAAAAAAAAACACATTTGAATACTTATTAGTTAGATACTAATGAATATATGAACACTAACTAATGAACACAAATTAAATAAAAACTAAATAAGTCTCACTGTCTTACATGTGCTAACTTTTAGGATAACATAGAATCATGCACAAAAGAAGAACTAATAATCATTATCATAGTCGTCATCATCACTGTCACCACCATCAACATAAATATCATCACTTTCATCATCATAATCATCTTCTTTTTCATCACTATCATCGGCATAATCCTCCTCTTCACCACTATGATCTATAGTGGCATCATCACCACCATCAACAGTTGTTCCATTCACATTTGACCGAACCCAATCAACATCATCCTCCTGAATGTATGTTGAATCATCTAGATGTTGACTAGAATATGGCTCAACTTGTGGACATGTTATTGCATCTTCAAAAGATTCCCTCCCGCGCATATCATACAAATCCTTGGGTGTCATCTTCACAACTATATGCCAATCTTTCTCAATAGGGTTTTGTATATACCAAACTTGTTGTGCTTGGGATGCAAAGATGAATGGTTCATCTGACATTCGATTTTGTTGATACAAAAGATGCTTAAAATTCACAAGTGTGAACTTGAACTCATCTTGCCTCTTCCCCACATTGTTATCAACCCAATTACATTTGAATAACACAAACTTGAAGTCATTAGAATATCTCAACTCAATTATATCAGTCAAAACCCCATAGAAAGTAACTTCTCCACTAATTGGTCGTCTATCTCTTGAACTTGCATAACTTTGTGTATATGCAGTCAATGACACTCCACTATTTTGAGTTTTTCTACTCTCCTCACGTTGTTTAGTGTGAAACCTAAACCCATTTATAATATACCCACTGTATCTTCTTGCCCAATTGTCTGGTGCTACGGACAAAATTTTTATTCATCTGAGATGTTTGCATTTTCAGTTTGTTGCAAGTGTTGAACCTACATTTTAATCCAATGTATTAGAAATCACATATCAAAGATACCATTATATATACATATACCACTATTTTAATCCAATGTTTGCATGTATGACTCATGTGCTCTCTAAACCAAAGAGGAAATTGTTCGTTGTGCTTTCTCATAAGATCACGCTCACTTGAATGATGTCTATCAGCTTTAAGCACTTGAATGTGTTTCCTGCATGATTGAGAATAGGTATAGGATATTAAATATGTTATTTAATTGACTAGAAATTGAATATTTAATTTAGTAGATTTCTTACTCTCGGAATGGAGTGACTACATTAGAGTTGGCTAGCACATATCTATGTGCTTGTTCCCATGCAGTTTTATCAAGTGGGAATAATTTCCCTTTCCCTAAAGAACGTCCCCTTTGTTCACCCTCATAATTTCGTATCGGCCGATTTAATTTTGTCTCAACATCATGCAAATATCGACTACAAAATGTCAAACACTCTTCTGCTAAATACCCTTCTGCAATGGAACCCTCTGGATGGCTTCGATTACGCATGTACTTTTTAAGTGTAAGCAAATACCTATGAAAAAATAAAATTTATTTAGTTAGAAGATAAGCTTGATCAGCGCACGTCATTTATATGTACCTAAAATTGAAAAATTAATGCATACCTCTCAATAGCATACATCCATCGGTAATGCACTGGTCCAGCAAGTCTTGCCTCTTCTGCTAAATGAACAGGCAAATGCTCCATGATATCAAAGAAGGAAGGTGGAAAAATTTTCTCAAGATGGCAAAGAGTCAATCTAATTTTCTCTTCAAGACGACCACAATCATTTGGATGTATTGCTTTTGAACATAACTGTCTAAAAAAAGTACCTAATTCAATCAAGGTTTCACAAACATTCTTAGGCAGTGTCCTTCTCACAGCTAGAGGCAACAGTTGTTGCATTAGAATATGGCAATCATGGCTCTTAAGCCCTGAAATAGTTCTCTCTTTGAGTTGTACACGGCGTGAAATACTTGACGAGTATCCATCCGGGACTTTCACATTTTTTAGCACCTTGCAAAATATTTCTTTGTGCTCTTTATTCATTGTGAAACAAGCTGCAGGTAAAAAAACTTTACCATTTGGCCGTTATTGAGGGTGAAGAGCTTTACGAAGTCCCATCTCTTGAAGGTCACGACGAGCTTTTAGACTATCCTTTGTTTTTCCCACAACATTCAATAGGATCCAAAGTATATTTTCACACACATTTTTCTCAATGTGCATAACATCAAGATTGTGTTGAATTAAATTGTCCTTCCAATATGGTAATTGGAAAAAAATAGTTTTCTTTCTCCAATTATATTCTTCCCTCAAGGTTTTATGAATGCCTCTCCCATCCTCAATAACTTTTCTTTTTTTAGACACATGCGTCTTTTCATTACCATCACCCTTCCCATATTTGTTCTCTATGAATTCTATTTGTTTGAAAATATCATCGCTGGATAATTGAGGTGGCATTTTCTTTGTTTCAACACTTCCATCAAAACCTATTGCATCTTTCTGAAACTTATGCCCTTCATCTAAGAACCGCCTCTGGCCCATATAACAATACTTTCGACTATGTTTTAACCATCTAGAATGGGTATCTTTATTACAAGATGGACAAGCCAATGCTCCTTTTGTACTCCATCCAGATAAATTAGCATATGCAGGAAAATCACTTATGGTCCACAACAAAGCTGCACGCATATGAAACATTTGGTTGCTTGATGCATCATTAGTAAGTATGCCATCAATCCATAATTCCTTTAACTCGTCAATTAAAGGTTGCAAATACACATCAATATCATTTCCAGGACCACGAGGCCCATCAATAAGCAAAGATAACATGAAATATGGCTGCTTCATGCATAACCAAGGAGGCAAGTTATATGACATCATCACAACAGGCCACGTGCTATGAGCAATGCTCATTGTCCTAAATGGGTTAAAACCATCAGATGCTAATCCAAGTCTGACATTTCGACTGTCACTAGCAAAATCTTGATTTTTTTCATCAA